TGTCAAGGTGGTTAAACACCGGAATAAATTGCCTATGGAGGTTGTGGAATCTCCATCTCTGGAGATATTTAAGAGTAGGTTAGATAAATGTCTATCAGGGATGGTCTAGACAGTGCTGGGTCCTGCCATAAGGGCAGGGGACTGAACTTGATGACCTCTCGAGGTCCCTTCCAGTCCTAGTATTCTATGATTCTATGAAAATCCTCATTGAGATAGGTCCTGCTTGAATACTGTGTGCAGTTCTAGTTGCCTCATGTCAAAAAATATACCTTAGAATTGGAAAAGATGCCAAGAAAGGCAAAAAAATTATTATAATTGTGCTTTTGAGGCAAGATAGGAATTTCTTTCCTGGGAAGCTTACAATAAGTGGAAACTTGGATAACTGACCAAGGAGGGGTTTAAATGTATAGCTCGAGAATGCTGGGGGGTTATCAGGAAGGCTAAAGCGCAATTGGAATTGCGACTGGCTAAGGATGTGAAGGATAACAAGAAAGGTTTCTACAGGCATGTTAACAAGAAGAAGGTGATCAGAGAGGGTGTGAAGCCCCTACTGGATGAAGGAAGTAACCTAGTGATAGATGATATGGGGAAAGCTGAAGTACTCAATGCTTTCTTTGCCTCTGTATTCACGGACAAGGTTGGCTCCTGGACTAACGCGCTAAGTGATGCAAGATGGGATGAAGATGGACAGCCCTTGGTGGGTAAAGATCAGGTTAGGAACTATTTAGAAAAGCTAAACGTACAAAAATCCATGGGTCTGGACTTAATACATCCGAGGGTACTGAGGGAGTTGGCAAATGTCAAAGAGCCTTTGGCGATTATCTTTGAAAAGTCGTGGAGATCAGGAGAAATCCCGGATGATTGGAAAAAGGCAAATGTAGCGCCCATCTTCAAAAAAGGGAAGAAGGATGATCCAGGGAACTATAGGCCAGTCAGTCTTACCTTGGTTCCTGGAAAAATCATGGAAGGGATCCTTAAGGAATCCATTTTGAGGCACTTGGAAGAGAGGAAAGTGATTAGGAATAGTCAGCATGGATTTACAAAGGGAAAGTCGTGCCTGACCAATCTGATTAGCTTCCATGATGAGGTAACTGGCTCTGTGGACATGGGAAAGTCAGTGGATGTGATATACCTTGACTTTAGCAAGGATTTTGATATGGTCTCCCACAATATTCTTGCCAGCAAGTTAAGGGAATGTGGATTGGATAAATGGACAGTAAGATGGATAGAAAGATGGCTAGAAGGCCAGGCCCAGCGGGTAGTGGAGCACTTGCTCCCTAGGAGAGGCATGGGGCTTTGGAAAGAAAACTAGGAGGTAAATTTCTTGGGACAGATGGAACGGTGACACCACCTTGGGGAGAAAAGCCGGGTGAGGACGAACCCTCACATTATTCTCCGAGAACACTAGGTAGGCGGGTTTACAGTTAGCGCCCTCAGTTCGGAGACCCTGCGAGCCAACGTAATGGCTACAATGAACGCAACCTTCACAGAAAGGTGCTTCAAAGAGCACGTGGCCAGCGGCTCAAACGGGGTGACACAAGTCTAGAGAAGACGAGGTTAAGGTCCCAAGTGGGGAGAGGGGATTTAACCGAGGGGTACAAATTATCCAAACCCTTAAGGAACCTTTTGACCACAGGGTCAGAGCACAGAGAGATTCCAGCCAATCCAACATGGAAGGCGGAGAGCGAGGCCACGTGTACTTTGATAAAAGAGGTAGAGAGCCCACCGGACCTGCGTTCGAAGAGGTAGTCCAGAATGGACAGGACAGGTGCACAGGACGGGTGCATCCCCCTTCTGGACACCCAAGACGAGAACCGCCGCCACTTGGCTGCATAGGACCGCCTGGTGGATGGCTTCCTGCTACCTAGGAGCACCATCTGCACCTCCTAGGAACATTCCTTTTCCAGTTGCGTCAGCCACGGATAAACCAAGCGGTCAGATGGAGAGAGATGAGATTTGGATGAACCATGAGCCCTCCGTCCCAGGGCTGGGTCAGGAGATCTTGATCTGGCGGGAGCGTTATAGGCTCCTGGTCAGAACCATGAGTGGATGGCTTCCTGCTACCTAGGAGCACCATCTGCACCTCCTAGGAACATTCCTTTTCCAGTTGCGTCAGCCACGGATAAACCAAGCGGTCAGATGGAGAGAGATGAGATTTGGATGAACCATGAGCCCTCCGTCCCAGGGCTGGGTCAGGAGATCTTGATCTGGCGGGAGCGTTATAGGCTCCTGGTCAGAACCATGAGAATTAGGGGAAATGGAGGGAATGAATAGAGGATGCCCACCAGCAGCAGCACAGTAATGGAATCGCCTCTGGAGTGCTCCCCCAACCCCAGTAGAGAGCAGTGACTCTGACACTTCCTGTTGTGTGCCGATGCAAACAGGTCTACTAGGGGACAACCACACCTGAGGAAATCCTGATATAGGGCCGTATCCTTCAGGGACCGTTCGTGGGCTCCGAAGGACCTGCTCAAAGCGTTGGCCAGCAAGTTTTTGCATCCCGGCAGGTATTCTGCCTGCAAAAGTATATTGTGCGCTACGCACAGGTCCCAAAGCAGCAAAGCCTCACAACAGAGGGGAGGCGACCAGGCTCCCCCTGCCTGTTGATGAAGAACACAGCTGCTGTGTTGTCCAGGTGCACCAGGGCGGATTGGCGCGACAGCCTCATCAGGAAGGCCTCGCAAGCTCTCCTGACTGCCCTGAGCTCCCGGACATTTATATGTAGGGCCCGCTCTGCAGGGGACCACAAACCCTGGGTCCTGTGACGCCCCAGGTGTGCTCCTCAACCTAGGTCTGAAGTGTCTGTGACTATCATCACCGAGGGGGGAAGTACAGTAAACGGAACACTGCTGCACACGACAGCCTCCTGAGTCCACCACTGTAAGAAGGCAATTACCGCTGGAGGTACAGTCAGTACCATGTCCCAGAGACCCCTGGACTGGTTGAACGCCTTTGCTAACCAGGCCTGCAACGATCTGAGCCTCATTCGAGCGTGGCGTACTACATAAGTGCATGCCGCCATGTCTCCCAGCAGCCTTGAGCAGACTCGGGTGGTTGTAATGGGGAACCAGGTTAATTTGGAGACCAGCTCCACTATAGCCACAAATCTGTTCCTGGGGAGGAATGCCTGCACCACCCTGGCATCCAAGAGGGCCGCCACGAATTCTAGGTGCTGAAAAGGAGTCAACAATGACTTTTCCTCGTTCAGCATGAAGCCTAGTCTTAAGAAGAGAGTCCTTGTAAGGGAAACATGAGCCGCCATTTGTTCGTAGGATCGACTACGAATTAGCCAGTCGTCTAGGTACGGAAAGACGTGTACCCCATTTTTTGCGGAGGAACGCTGCTACGACTGACAAGAATTTTGTGAAGGCCCTGGGTGCTGTCAAAAGTCCAAAGGGGAGCACCGTAAACTGGAAGTGACAGCGGGACAGTATGAAGCGGAGAAACCTCCTGTGCCTGGATCTTACTGCCACGTGGAAGTAAGCATCCTTGAGATCGAGAGTTGCATACTAGTCCCCTAACTGTAACAGCGGGATGACAGAGGCCAGGGTTACCATTCTGAATTTGGATTTCACCACAGTCTTGTTGAGGTCCCTAAGGTCTAGAATGGGATGAACCCCGCCCTTGGGCTTTGGGACTATAAAATACCAGGAATAAAACCCCTTGTCCCTTAAATGTGAAGGGACCCTCTTTACCGCTCCCTTTTGGAGGAACGCTAACACCTCCTGATGGAGAATGCCTTCGTGAGAGGTGTCCCTGAAAAGGGACGGGGCGGGCGGGTTGGAAGGGGGCGAACCCAGGAAAGGAATAGTATAGCCATCCCAGACTATTCTCAGAACCCAGTCATCGGTGGTGATTTCTGCCCAGGTGGGGGCAAAGTGGGATAACCTGGCCCCAAACGGGGCCAGGGAGAGGAACTGGTGCGCAACTCTCTAGGGGTATGTCTACACTACCCCGCTAGTTCGAACTAGCGGGGTAGTGTAGACATACCCTCGGGGACCATTAAAACGGGTACTTGGACTGTTGAGAGGGGCCCTGTCCAACCCCACGGGGGTTGTCACCTCTTGGGTGGCGACGACGACCTCTGGCCGATGACGGGACCGCAAATACAGCATCTCCAGTAATGCCCATGGGGAACCTGGGACTGCGTTCTCCCCTGTTGTCTGTAGGGAAGCTGATGTCGCTGAGGAGCCTCGTGAAACGAGGTTTACAGGAGCGCTCGACAAAGGCTTCCCTTGTCGACTGATCTGCATCTTGACTCGCGTGCTGTGCCAACGATCAGCTGAGCTGGCATAGCGTGGTGGCCATTTTTATTTTAATGAAGCTGGGGATATTTAAATCCCCACTTCATTGACTATGTCAGGTAGCCTATTTTACATGCCTCTGCCGGCATGTAATCTAGACGTACCCTATGGCTATGTCTAGACTGCAAGCCTCTTTCGAAAGAGAGCGTCTAGACTGCACGTTGAACTTTCGAAAAAGCGGCTTGCTTTTTCGAAAGAAAGCATCCAGTGAGTCTGGATGCTCTCTTTCGAAGAAGCCCTATTTACATTGAAGAACGCCTTCTTTCGAAAGAGGAACTTTCGAAAGAAGGCGTTCTTCCTCGTGAAATGAGGTTTACCGCCATCGAAAGAAAAGCCGCGTTCTTTCGATTTAATTTCGAAAGAACGCGGCTTGAGTCTGGACGCAGGGGAAGTTTTTTCGGAAAAAGGCTACTTTTCCCGAAAAAAACCCTGAGTCTGGACACAGCCTCTGTGTCCAGATTTAAAGAGTAATCAGAGAAACTTTACTAAATCACATCTGCTAGATCCTAGCAATTCAAGATTCCCTACAGTCTGTTTCCCAGGCCTCCCTGATTCCCTTTGCTACCTTTCAAATCTCTGTAGATGCTTTTTAAGTCACGTCTGAGTCATTAATTAATCAAGCTACCGTGATTAGTATGAGTAGGTGTTGAAAACCAACTGGCTGAGACGCAACAATAAAAACAATGGAGTTAAAGACACTGTAATGAACCAAGAATTGGAATTTTATCATACTTTAGCTTATCTACAACCAGGACTGAATAGAAGCTGCAGGATTTTATTTACATGTAACCGTTACAGAATGTAAATGAGTGTTTAACCTTTGAGGGTGTTGCAGCCATAAACTTCTTAAGACCTAGTTCTGCCATCCTTAGTCAACCCTTAACTTGGACTCAACTTTCTGAGGGAAATTAATCCCCATGGAAAAGGTCTATTTATGCCCACTTGTGCCTTCAGAGGGTTGGTTCACTCCATAGGGCAAATTTTCCCCTACTGGATGCATAAAAGCCAGTCTTTTTACAAGTGTGTAACAGATAAACATAAAACTACAAATCCAGTAACTTGTTAAACACAACAGTAGCAACTAGGAAGTTCAGGTATCATTATCTTGTATCTCATATATCTACTTTTTATGCATGGGACTAATAATTATGGAATTTCACCAGCAGCATGTGGCTAGGTTTGTAAGGGAGTTAGAACATAACAGATTATAGAATAGTTATACTGGAATTTAGATCCAGAACTTGGACGCCAAATGCTTTCCGATCTGAAGAGCCAGTAGCTGCTCTTTATATTCAGCCATTTGTAAAGACATAATAATAAAGGCAGCAATTTATACACAGGCTCAATCTGTACCAGATGTAAATCAGTGTAATTCCATTAATGACGCTGGCTCTATCACCCAATACCTTGAATGATCAAAAACTGTTTAAAAAAATCATGCACTGGAAATGAGATCCAAGGAAATGACACGCTGTGTGAGGCTGGCAGAATTACACAAGATTCAGCACCCTAAGTTTTTTAAAAAAAATATTGTGGATTCCCCCCTATCTTTACAGATTAATATTTCAGAGGAGGGAGAGGGAAACCTTTATAGGCAGAGCTAGATGTTAAAATCCACAGCTGTTGTCCCAACAGTCTCACATCTTCCTCAAACACAAACCAAGTTAAAACTAGATTGAATTTATTTTCCCATAAACCAGCCACTTTTCTGGAGCACTTTGCTTTCTAATTTTTCTCTAATTCCCATCACCTTCAGGGAGATAGTATGACTCTGCTGCCCCATGGCAGGTTTGTTATTTCAGTGGCTACTCTTCAAATAAGATCAGGGAACAATCTTCAGAGGATTCATTTTTCTCTGTTTCCTGGATGTCAGGTGCTTCCTTGGCCTTCTCTAGCTCTTCCGCTTTCTGGAGTTCTTCAAAGACCACACCACTGCTATATGCCTTTGGGTGGTTCATGGTGGAACTGTCTTTCACCTGCAACATTTCCAGAACCTCCGGATTCAAGTCATCTTGACAAGATGGTATAAGGTTAACTTTGCTTCCTCCCACTGGTGGTTTGGGCTGGTTGGATCCTAGGCTTTTGTTTCCTGGAACAGTGAACTTTTTCTTAAGGCCTGCAAGGAATACAAACCAATGCAATCCTCAGAATCCAACAAGGAAAAGGAAGAATGAATCATGCCAGAAAAGCACAAATCCTCTGCCCCTCTCCCATTGGTAAATCAAATGGTGAGTCAACATAGCCTCACATATCAGAGATTCTCCAGACTTTTCCGTCAAAATCTCTATGGCATGGGGGAAAGGCTGTGAGGGACTCCATTTCTACATAACGAAAAAACATAAGAATGGCCGTACTGTGTCAGACCAATGGTCCACCTGTCTTTCCACAGTGGCTAATGCCAGGTGTTTCAGAGAGACTGAACAGAACAGGTGATCATCAAGTGAGCCATCCCTTGTCACCCCCTCCCAGCTTCTCCAATTTGCACTCCTAAGTTACACTGCTCCCCACAGAGGCTGGGAGGAGATTTTGATCTCCAGGACCATTCAATCCTTGGCCTCACAACTGAGGTTGCTAGCTGGGAGGCCAGCTGATGCCAACTGTGATAGGAAGAAACTGAACTGAGATTCCAGGTTTTCAATCATATACAACTGGCACCAGACTGAAACTCACGATCTAGAAGTGATCATCTCTGGCAGGAGGAGTTACAACTTAGGCCTGAGCTAGATAGAGCAACTTGATCTTACATTTGGTATCACTCCTCCCACTCTCCTGTCTTTCTTTCACAATTCGGGCCTCTTTTTTGTCTGTACATTCCTTGGACACTGGCTCTTGTCCCTTGCTCTTCTTTTGTAAGCGCTCACTCCCAAACACTGGACCTGTGTTTTCTTGCACAAACAAAGATAAAAATGTGTTGTTATTTACAAACAAGAGCCAATGAGTGTGGTCTGCCTAGGTTCTGGGGATGAATGGTTGACATGTCAGTGACAACTGCACTAAGAATAGTGATAGAAATGTAGCCGTGTTAGTCTGGTGTAGCTGAAACAATGGCTGGATTACCTTTTGCAAGCTTATAGCCAAGACAGGAAAAAAAACCCAGGAGTCCAGACTCCTGCCCCCATGCCACTGCTTCTAACCTCTAGATCCCACTCCTCTTCCAGAGCAAGGAATAAAATCCAACTTGACCACCAAATCTCTTTACATCTGCAAAACTGTCCCAATATCCACCTATGAATTCCTCCTCAAAACTCTCCTTTAGCACAAAGACAACAAAAAACTTGACCATAGCTAGGCTGCTGGTATGCTAAGACCTCTGCATGCCATACTAATTCATACTGGCTCATTGTTTGCTTGTATTCTCCCTTCTATCTGTCTCCACTTTTGTCTTACGTTGTAATCACTGTGGGCAGAGACTATGTTTTTGTTCTGTGTTTGTACAGTCCCTGGCACAATGGCAATAAAGCAGAAGTAATTATAACAACAATACTAACCAATGGACCATGCCTCCCTCAAAAACAATTGATGGAGCTCTGTGGGAAAGAACAGTCAGCTGTCTGAAGCAGGTACACATTTCATCCTGGTTGGTTTGGACAAGTATACATGGGCAACTAAAAGACACAGTCCCAATTCCTCCTGCTCCATGAAAGCCAGGATGGTAGACGAGTAAACAATATTAATTTGAGTATCACAGACCTTACCCTAACCCTTCTTAATTTGTTACATTAGCCACCTTGCAATGTGGCTACAATCTGACCTTTTAAGACACTGCAAAAGTAGCTGGGTTGTATTACTAACCTTTCAGAAAGGTTTTCTTCTTGAAATGTGAAGCTGGTAGCACCATCGCATCCTAGAACACAAGCATTAAGTAGTCAGACATGAAAGAGAATATAGTTATTATACTGCAATTCTGTATCCAGCTCTGATGCCCATATATTACCTGGGTGTTGATCAAATGGAAAGGGTTCATAAAAAAGCAATGAGGAAGGATTAATTCAACCCATGCCCTGTGTTATACAGCAGTTGATCAGATCCCAGTGATTCCTTCTGGCTTGATAATCTACAATCAGTTTGAGGGCTGGAAAATGTGACAGGTAGTAAGCGAGTAAAGCTGGATTATTTTGAGATGGTATGATCGCCGCCCATAATAGCTGCCCCAGGGAAAAGGATTTCTGACACCAAAGGGCTGTTTAATCTATCTGGGAACAGCAGATCCAACATTGATGTGAAACAAATTCAGACTGGAAACAAGGTGTACATTTTTAACAGGATGAATAATTAATCACTGGAACTGAATTCCACTACAATCACTGAATTCCAGTTCAGCTGTCTCCTTTTGTAATCTGGTTTTGAAATTTTTTTGTGGAAAGGTTGCTACTTTTAAATCAGTTCCTGTCCAGGGAGGTGTGACAGGCTGCAGCTAAGCCAGAGGTCTGTCACTACAGATTGTCTGAAAAGAACAGCGGAAGCCAGCTGAGCAAGCCCATGCCTTAGGACCTAGTGGGAAATATCTGTGGGTCTCATTAGCCAGAAGGCTAGATAAGGCAGCCAGAGGGGAAGTGGAAGGGGAGGAGCCAGAGAGTGGCTGAGTGTGCTCCCCAGCCAGAAGGAGAGGCTAGCTGAGTTGGCTGAAGGAATGACAAACAACACTTTATAAATAGAAGGTGGTAGGAAATAAGGCATCCCAGGGTGAGGGGCCTGGGCAAGAACCTTGCCACAAAGGTACATTCAGACCATCATAGGATCTAACGACAAAAGCCACCACATCAGAGGCTCATCCATCTGCACATCCACTAATGTGATCTATGCCATCATGTGCCAGCCATGCCCCGCTGCCATGTATTCTGGCCAAAGTCTCTACACCAAAGGATAAATGGATACAAACCAGACATCAGGAACGGTAACACACACACCCCTGTAGGGGAACACTATAACCACCCTGGACATTCAATAATGGATTTAAAAGTACAGGCAGTCCCCGGGTTACGTACAAGATAGGGACTGTAGGTTTGTTCTTAAGTTGAATCTGTATGTAAGTCGGAACTGGCATCCAGATTCAGCCGCTGCTGAAACTGACCACCAGTTCTGACTTACATACAGAATCAACTTAAGACCCCCAAGCGTCCCCAAGTCAGCTGCTGCTGAAACTGATCAGCGGCTGATTCCAGGAAGCCCGGGGCAGAGCAACTCTGCCTC